GTCACAGTTAGTTACACACGTACATCCCATAAGTCCGTGAGATTTCATAGACCTACCGTAGGTAAACATAGAAAGAGCAATACAGTAATAGTAAAACTCGAGCGTCACGACATTGCGAAGTGTCTGATTTTGTTCCTAGTATCGTACTCACTCGAGTCAATCCGAGATGGCCCGAGTGAAGTTTCATGTAAATGTTTCGTACGGAAAAAAAATCGCGGCCGGGGCCTCCACAGTCAGCACCATTTTTTTTAAAGAATATTTTTAATACATTGTACAATGTGTCTGGGTAAGGTACTCACGGGACTACACTACACTTGGTAATGATAACTTATCATTGCTATCGATTTCGTGTCGATGTAACGACGATAGCAAACAGGGTGGAAGTCTTATCACATCCTCGTAATCGTATGTCTTTCCCTCATCCATTCCAACAAGAGGCACATCCTCCTAGCCTAGCTAGTAGGCTAGTTAAGACACAAGTTTGTCAGCTATAGTTCGGTTATGACTGTCTAAAACTATCCATAGTTTGTTACAAGTAACAATCTTCAAGAATCTGGTTGCGGTAACTAGAATTGGAGTTTCATTAGCAATTTCTTCGCGGTGAAAACAACACTTTATATTACAACACCTGCACACTGTCCGCCGCTAGTCGCCATGTTGTTGTTTACTGTTGTTGGCTGTACCACAACACGTGAAGTTATTGTAACAAAATCAATTTAATAGTAATCTAAAAAATATTATTCTGTAATTAAAATACAAACTTTATTTAATTATAATTTTTAAATTTGTTTTTAAAGCAGTAATACGAAGTTCGCAAATAATAAACTACGTATCAAAATACAATATTCGTACGAGTACAGTGACGTTTACAAAATGTCGTGTGCTAATCTAGCGCAAAGAACTTTCAATTTCGTAAGTTTAAACGTCATTTTCTCGTATTTGCAGAAGTTCTGACGGTCGAACTTTTTTTTGGTGCTTTTAAATATTATTATAATAATTATCATAATGAGTGAAAGTATTAGGAAAATTTCGGAACGGGACTGAACGTTAGGATTTTCACCCCATGGCCTATATGTTTACTAAATTATCTACATGGAGAATCGGTTATCAGGAAATAACAATAATTAGGAAGGTTTCGCACGCAAACGCGTACGGTTAATGTGACAGATACGTCATCATTTTGACGTCATACGCCGGCTGCTATCCGCTAAACGTGTGGAAGACAGGCATATCTCGGTCACTACACTTAAGTGAAAAACGAGTAGGGAAATTTTGGATTTCTAGTAGGATCTTCGTTTATTTTTTTACATTTTACATAAAGTGTAAAAAAATACACTACACGCCTGGATGGGTTGTACCAGAATCTTAGGGACGTTCCCAGTTCCTCATACGCCCACTAACAATATTGGTTAAAATTCCGTACCTGGGATCGGGGAATTTCACTGTGGATTAGGCTTATGGAATCGAATTTATAGGGGTGGCGAAATCTCTGTCACCACCAATGGTTTATCTTCATTATTTAACTACCGGACGTACATTGTGTCGGTCTCGGTTTAAAACAAAATGTCTTGCAAACGTCTTAAGTTCGCGTCAAAGCTATTTCGTCATCATCCAGCATTGAAATACATTAATGTCGTCGTTATACTATCAGTGCTACAGTATCTCCTCCATCTCGCATAACAATGTTCGATTCCTTAGCATTTTTTTTATTTCTTAGATCATAATATATTATTTTCCCTGAGGAATTATTCTTTTTAGTAAATTCTTGTGCATGTAGCCTACATGTTAAACCATTTATTTTGTAATAGATATCCAAATCCAAATGAGCCTTGGGCCATCTTTAAAGGAAGAAAAACATCAAATGTAATTAAATTATATGCCCAATGCATTTCTAGATATGAAGAAAAAATAAGATTGTGAAGTGTATAGGGTCTATTTGAAAAATAAATCAGATCACCAATTACAACGAGTCATCTTCATTATCGTCATTAGTGCTTAAACCTTATAAAATATATACATATATTCGGGCTGAATATGATTGGAGGTTTCGAAATATCAATTTTAACATTTTATTTATTTTTTTTTTTTTCCAATTTTGAAACATTATATACAGTTCGCCCTTCAAATCGAGACCCCCTTTGGGAACTGAAAATTTGGAGTGTTCTGGGGGTTAGACTCCACTTAGAGACTAGCTTGTGTTAAAAGGTTGAAGATTGTGTTTTGTGTCTTAGGAAAAGTGATCTCGAATTAGAGTGGTCTCGGAATTAAAGGGGGTCCCGAATTGGAGTGTGCGCTGTATTCATATTCTTAACTAAACCTTTATTTTATTTCTCTTCTATTTACTGAACCTTGCCTGATTTTATAAATCACTATCTGTAAATACTATAGGCCTATTCTCTTTTGTGCAATAATTCCCCTGGCTTCTGGACCCTATTGGAAATAATCGTAGTGTACAAATACTAGACTTAAAGGGCCATCCAAGCATTAAAATAATTAAAAAAACAGAGTGTAAAGTATATACATCTTTCTAATTTTATTGTCATTTATAACCACTGTCGGTCAAATCAAATACTGTACAAAATTTGAGCTTCTTGCGTATAAATTTAGAACACGTTTCCTACAAGCATTGATAACAGACATCAAGTCTAAACTAGTATATTTTTCCATAATTAAGTCATCTAGGACTATCGGTTTAGTACAGAGTAACGGAACTCAAATTTCTAGAGTAGGTCCTACACAACAGACTGATAAAAGCATGGATGATCAAATGAGCCTTTTACCTTACAAATTACTTCGAACGTTATTGAAGACACATTTTTTTTTTACAAATAACAACAAAAATATAAATCAAAGCCATGTTCATGTGATAAAAATTCACATGTATCTATAAAATTAGCAAAACAACATTAAATATGTTTATTTAAAACATTAAAACAAGACTAAAAATATTCTAAACGATTATAAAGATGTAGGCCTATTATTAACACATGCATAGAACTATATAGTCGTATCATTAGAACGAGAAAGCGCACTGTTTAAAATATTTAAACAACATTAAAGATACATTTGAAACATATAACAGCGAAAAAAACAGAGGAACTCTAACAGTATATGCAAAAAAATATTTACAAGCATCACACATTAACGGTCAAATCAAATACTGTACAAAAATGTGAGCTTCTTGCGTATAAATTTAGTACACGTTTCCCACAAGCATTGATAACAGACATCAAGTCTAAACTAGTATATTTTTCCATAATTATGTCATCTCGGACTATCGGTTCAGTACAAAGTAACAGAACTCAAATTTCTAGAGTAGGTCCTACACAACAGACTGATAAAAACATGGATGATCTAACGAGTCTTTTACCTTACAAATAAATGACTACGAACTTTATTGAAGACATACATCTTATACAAATAACAACACAAATATATATCAAAGCAATATTCATGTGATGAAAATTCACATGTATCTATAAAATTAACAAAACAACATTGAATAGGCCTACGTTTATTTAAAACATTAAAACACTAAAAATATTCTAAACGATTATAATTTATATAGATATATTTGAAACATGTAACAGAGAGAAAAAAAGGAACACAGGAACTCTAACAGTATGTGCAAAAAATTATTTACAAGCATCACACATTAACGGACACCGGCTATTTCTGCGTCAAAACAAGAAGGATTTTAAAAAGCCAACAACAGCTTCTAAATTGTTATTGTTAGTTTTATAAATTAATATGTAATGTTGTAGATTTGTAGAAGTGAAGTTAATTGCAGGAAAGCAGTGATATATACAATCCCCTTACTACTGTTGAACACAATTCTCACTATAAACAAATTATATGACTATTGTATTACATGAACTGCTCAATTTCTGTAACATTTATAAAGCCTTATAAGAAAGTATAATACATACTCCAAGTATTGAAATGCACGCCATCGTGTTGGGATTTAATAATTCGACATTAATTATATCATCATCAGCAATGAAAAAATTATCCATATTTACAAGTATATGCACAAATACCAAAAGTGTTTTAACTAATCAAAACATTACCTCTAGTAGGTAGATAAATCACTGTTATTTCACCTACTAGAAGGTGAGTGACATCCTGTTAAGTCAGATTTTGCTATATGTATTAACTGCCCCTGTTTGTAGAATAGGCCTATGTTAAAGCATAGACCAAGATACTCTATGCAGACCACAAGTTTGTGGTGATTGTAATTCTAGATTACAGACAGTGAACTTAGCTATCTTCCAACTATGCATTCAAGGTTTGCCATTCTCACTTAGCAACAGACTTGTTTTGGAATAGTCACCAAAACAGTATATCAGTTCAGTTCATGGATTCAATGCAACAGGTTCTGGAGAAGAAACTGATGTAAGTTTATATTGAATTATGTTCTAGGATTATAATTAATAAATAAGATTAAATTAGTACTCTCATTGAGGATACAGTACTCTCATTTAGTACATAATCATCATTATTAGCAGTTTATAGATGCTGTTGACTACAGTATGATATAATCAGGGACCTGATACTGTATAATAATTGCAGTATATTATGTCACTGTAATGATTATTTATAATAATCAACCCTTAGATATGAATTACCTTTAATTTATATGTTTATATTTTCTATTTTATTATATGTTGTATAGCATGTATTGGTATTCTATTTAAATTGATATAATCATTGTCATGTGAACATGTTTGGATTATATTGTCCGTACGATTGTTGATACGGCAAGGTGTTCTAAATTGTTACATTACTCAGGTCAAACTGGTATCTTGCTCTAATGCCAGTAGGCAATGTACTTTTGAGCTGTGTTCACGTAAAAATGACTATGATAATTGATTTAAGTTTAGTAGAATATGGTAACATATCAAATACATATGGAACAGTAACCATTAAGGTTTTCTGTAGTGAGTTCAACTAACTATGTGGACTTACATTTTTATCGTTAATTTGTTATGTTAAATGTTTATATGCCATAGAATAGTTACTATTTGTAAGTAAACTTTAGGAATTATTTGAGAGTACAGATAATTAATATCGGCCTACCTACTCAGTATAAGGCATTTGGTAATTAGACTAAACACCTAAAATTGAAGGTTGCCAAGGCCATTTGCTCTCATTCATAGGTATTGAACGCGATTCTGAATTTTACTAACGATATTTCAAAGATAAAGTTATATGCAGCTATTTTTAAAAGTAGGCCTAAATAAATTTAACAAACCAAATTGAATACTAGATGGATTATTGATCATTAGTATTAACTAATGATGATGATGACATAATTAATGTCGAAATATTGAATCCCAACACGATGGCGTGAATTTCAATACTTTGGAATATGTATTATACTTTGAGATTAATCAGTGGACCTTTCAGTATTAACCCAGTTGTTTAAAAGCTTCAATGTGGAACTTCGCAAAAAGCAAAGAAATAATTGTAACTAAATAGTATAAAATAATAATTTATCCTTAATTTTTAATGCACATTTGAAAAATCTATTTTCGCATGACTAAATTATTACAAACCATTTATGTTTTTATTAAAACCTCAGAAAGTTGTGCATTTCATTAACTGTCCAGCACTGTACAGCATTGATTATAATTTCGGAGCCTATCTGGTCAAAGAGAGAAGATACATGTTCAATGCCAGGATATTACCAGACTCTCCGCATTCAAAGCTTCCTTCACAAGATGGGCACGTCGCACTTGACAATGTACCTGTAAACTCGGCAACAAACGATTCTGTCTCACACAGAGGACATGTGTATCTGGCTTGCTGCAATCCTTGCAATTTACCAATCAAATCCGCTGCTCTTTGGTGTCCGTATTTGATAAAATATTGTTTTTCACTGTCAAATAGATCATTCAGGGTCCAGTAGACATCGATAAATTTAAGGTCCAGAACATTGGCGCTTTGAACTCTAAAGAAACCCATATCTCCCCAGCTATCTCCCCATGAATTCATAAGATACAGGCACTCACTGTTAAAGCTTGTTAGAACAACTGCATGTCCATCTAACTTTTGATCTCCACTTCGTTTCTGTATGTCCAGTTTGTTTTTACCGAGGATTCCAGTTCTGTTGTTTTTATAGAACTTACTAAAGATGTCCCATTCCGATTTAGTAAGACAGAATATAGCAACCACGGGTCTGTTTGCGGTGATCGCTTTCTTGGCACCATCGACATCAACCTGTTTACAGTGAAGTCGGTATTTTGAACAAATACTTTTGAAAACATCATACGTAACTGCTCCATCTGATCCATGAAGACTAACCATTTCATCCCGCAGTGTTTTAAATTCGGGATAACCACCATACCTTCCAGGAATACTTTTCAGAGACAAGTGAAGAACCGCAGCTGATGCGTTGGCATAACAAGTACCCCCAACTTGCTTTTCTTGCGCTTTGAATCCAGTTGTGCTCTGATTGATGTAAATATCCAGAGATACCGAGGTAAGCATATTGGAAAGCACTTCCCCAGAACAAACAACATTTCGCGCTAGATCACAAACTTCATTAATGTGTTTAGGATGGTTAACCAGCAGAAACAACCTGGTATTATTGTTTTCGAAATCAACTTTCCAACCTTGTTTTATGAAGACTGTTCTTGGGAGAGATTGTGTTGTGATGGTTGAAGACAGATTGAATAAAAACTGAGCACCATCTTCCCATAGTTGGTCGGACTTATTAAAAAGGTGTCGCGGATCAATATTTTGTGATCTTGTAATATAGCAACTCACAACAGTAACTCCGGCCTCTTTGAGCTCCCCTTTTATCGTCTCAATGTCCCCCCGATCGGTTGGCATTCCGTCTGATATGATGAATAAAAGCTTATTTCTGTACTTTGCGTTACGAAGTAACGGCATTGCCTGACGAAGAGCCTTAAACAAAGGCGTGTCGCCATAAATGAATGGCCTAACAATTTCCTTCAACTCTTTTATTCTTTGTGAATCCAGTTGTTTGCGATCATCAATGCATCCATTAATAATGGTCGATGCTTTTTTAGCTGGCAAAATACTTTCTGATTCAACGTCCTTCATCATTAATGAAAATATCTTGTCTTGCACCTCTTCAATATCTTTTTTTGTTGCCTGCTTAAATGTTGTGACTGTAGATGCATAAATCCTAGAAAAAACCGTACTAAGAGCATTTCCTAAGTGTCCACGTACCGGTACCGTCCAATCTCTGCAAGCATCTGGTAGACACTCTTGGGCAACTTTCTTCGCAAAACGGCTCTCGGCTTGTAACTTATCGAACACTGCTGAAGCCATTTCATGTGAAACTACAGACTTTACAGTATTCGTGTCTGCCCATTTGCGTATCTGACTTGCTCCGTTTCTTTCTAGGATTGAGAATATACCATTTAAAATAACACCATACGAAACTTTACTGCGACTAGATATATGCTTAAAAGGTTCTATTGTTCTCAGCACGTCAAATAGTCCAGATTTGAACATTGCACCCACACCAACAGCAAACACTTTATGCTCAGAGGACAAGTTGTGTTTGATAAGGTTATCCATGACATGAAATACTGAATTCACCCACTCCCCTCCTTCTTGCTCTATTTCACCAGCATTTTCAGCCATTGATCCAGAAACGTCCAGAAGCATCCCTGTCAAACTTGCCATATTAAACGAATCTGTAAAATAATATAAAGATAAACTATAATATAATGATTGTCCCAATGTCCCCCAGCCGATGTGGGAAGGTCTACATTGGTGAAACAGGACGAGATCTCCGTACTAGGCTCAAGGGACACCAAGGCCATGCCAGGAGAGGGGAACAACAAAAATGGTCTATAGTCATGCACTCCCACGTCAATAACAGCGTGTACATTGGGACAAAGCCGAACTAATAGCCACTGTTCCATCGCACTCCAGGGACCAGAGAAGCCATAGAAATCCACAAACACAATATACTGTCATTAAGATATCGGATTTGTCATAAGCGATATTTGGCTGTCCATGTTTAATCGACGCAGCTAAGCAGCCCCACCATTTTCCCGCCTTACTGGAATTATGCCTTTGGTTTTTGGTCGTTCCCATCCCCTTTATCCATCCAATCACCAACCAGCCTGTCCACCCAAACATAAGTATTTCTCTGTTTGGAATTTCTGCAGATATTATTCTCCTGAAGACGATTGAAGCAACTCAATCGAAACGTCAAGACTTTCTCAACTACAAAATTTCTTCTCAGAACTACCTACGTGGTGTACCGCAAGCTTCAACATAGCCTATTATGTTATTACTTCGCAGTGCAAACCTTAAAACAATACTTTATAATGATTGTTGTTAATCTTTCATAACCGATTTTAAAAAGTATTTAAAAAGGCAAAGGTTTGAGTGGACTTGTTGTTAATTGTGTGAATTTCCAAACTGAAGACACTTTGAAAGAAACTCATCGCACATTTATTTTTTCTCACGGATTATGTGTTAATGAAAATAGGTTTTAATTATTGAATAAATCCCTGAAGTTTTTTGCAAAGCAAAGAATCGAAAACTTTAAAATTGATAAAACGTATTGAGAGATAGATGAGTCACCATGAGTTATTATGACAACACCTCATGGTAAAACCACGTGTAATGCATAAAATATTCAAGGTGTTCAAACATATCTCGCCCTATTGATACCTCTCTATATGTAAATTGTACAGAATTAAGGTTTGGATAATATACTTAGACTGTGGGCCCAACCTTGAAAAGTAGTCTAGAAAGTGATTTGAGATACGATGCTCTCCTCTCTACATGAAAGCTTGGCATTTTGCGAAGAGACATGTGAACAATTAAAAAATGAAAAGTTCTCCAAAAAATGTTGGACTTTTTGAATACTAATTAAGGTCAAATGTCAGAATAGGAATAAAATGCAATTTTAATCTATTTAAACAAATTTACTCTTAGCATAGCATATTAAGATTTTAAAAGGTCTCATCATACTGTATAACTTAATTCAGTAAAAATATATGAAATATATTTGCATATTAATGAAGTCAGAGGTTAGAATTTGAATATAATTTATTTAATTATACACGATACAGGAGCCTATTGTGTATGGATTTAACTTTTGTTTAATCAAAATCTCTAGTCCTTTGTTTACTGTTAGTATATCATATTATGAAGACTATATAAGTCATCACATAACTCAATTCAATGAAAACGTATGAAAAATGGTTGCATAATGAGGTCATAGGTCAAAAATTGAAGAAAATTCCTTTTATTATACATGATACAGAAGCCTATTGTGTACAGATTAAACTTGTTTCATCAAAATCACTAGTCTTGTTTGAACAAATTCGCTCTTAGTATATCATACGGATATTATCATATAACTCAATTCACTAAAATTGCATGAGAAATGTTTGCATAATAATTAGGTCAGAGGTCAGAATTTGAATAAAATTATGAAGCCTATTTTGTACAGATTTTTTTTTTTCAGCAAAATCACCAGTCTTTTGTTTTAAAAAAATTACTCTTGGTATATCGTGTGGATATATATATAGGTCATCATCTAACTTAATTCACTATTAAACATTGTATGATAAATGTTTGCATAATAATGAAGTCAGAGGTCAGAATTTGAATAAAATTCATTTTATACATGATACAGAAGCCTATTGCGTATGGATTTAACTTTTTTCATCAAAATCCCTAGTCTTTTGTTTAAACAAATTTACTCTTAGTATATCATATGAATATTATGTATGTCATCATATAACTCAATTCACTAAAATTGTATGAAAATTGTTTGCATAATAATTAGGTCAGAGGTCAGAATCAGGATAAAATTCAATTTTTACACGATACAGAAGCCAATTGGGTACAGACACTCTACAGAAGGCTGTGTATGGATTTAACTTTTGTTTTATTAAAATCACACAGTACTTAGTACATAGGCCTACATATAAAGATCTATACTTTATAAACCTTAATATAACCTAAATTCAATAGCATAGCGTACCCAAACATCTTGGATTTGTTGCATACTAATGACCTAAATGAGATCAATGATCAGAAATTTCCATACAAGTCCAATGTAAAAGCACTGAATTAAAAACTAAACATTTTCTGTTAAAGGTCTTAACTAAAAGACTAAAAAAATATTATAATGATTGGTTTACATTCATAAAAATTATGTCTTCATGCATATTGTCACTGTTTTTACGAAGTGACACAAACCTAAAAATTAATTAACTGAAAATTGATATCTAGGCTAACGTTTGGCTGTAGAACAGGAATATGACATGACTTTTGGTATACCGGACCACGTTAGAAAAATTTTGCTTCGTAAAGACCCTAACTTATTTGGTTGCGTAATTTTTCTTCCATTTTTAGACTCCGTTAAAATACCCAAATCAGTTATTAAATGGATCTTATGAAACAAATTATTAATATATAGTTGGAAATGTTTCACCACAAAAAATTCCGGATTTTTCAGTTATCATTTTAGGGTGTAATTGTAGGTCAAAAGGTCATTCGGGACAAAAAATACACAAAAATGCCTCATTTTCATGGTGACATTTGACCCTGTGGGCAAGTACGCTTGTTGTTAAAACTTGCACTATTAATAAATTTATATATGATAATCATATGTTCCAAATATCAGCTTGGTGTCTTTATCCCTTCATGTTTAAAAAGCGATTTGCAAAGGGGTATATTTTTCAATTTGTGACAATATCAGTGCGTATATGTGACAAAATTAATTTTTGAATAACGATAAAATTAAAAATAATTTGCCTAACCCCTTGAAACTTATAATTCTAAAACAACTTTATGTGCTTATTGCAGGCATGCAGTTTGTTAAGGGGTATAGTGTTTCACTAGTAAGATATGTCCCCCCAAAAATGGCCCAAGTGTAAATTTTGTTACTATTGATTTCAAATGAGCATAATATTATTCATGTACTGTCTAGAGCCACGAAACCTTTCATTCTAGGACAACTTTTTGTGTTGATTTCAGTTATGCAGTCTGTTAAAGGGATAAATCGTTTAATTAGTAAGATATTATGCCCCAAAAATGGCCCAAGTGCAAGAATTATGCAATAAAATAGTGTTACTATTGATTTCAAATGAGCATAATATTATCTGTGAACTGTCTAGAGCCATGAAACCTTTCATTCTAAGACAACTTTTTGTGCTGATTTCAGTTATGGGATGCATTGTTTAATTAGTAAGATATTTTGCCCCAAAAATGGCCCAAGCGCAAGAATTGCACTATATATATATTGCGCACATTGTTGTGCGACTATATTTTTGATATATTCTAGTACCCATTTGTACACTTATTTAATTCATGCAGTCTGCTAAGGGATACATACAGTCTTTAGTTAATAAGATAGTTTGCCCCAAAAACGGCCCAAGTGCAACAATCGAGCAATAACATTGTGTGACATTGATTTGAAATGAGCATAAATTTTACATTGTACTGTCTGGGGCCATGAAAGTTTTACTTAAAAAATAACTGTTTGTTCTTAATTCAGTCATGCACTCTGGTAAGGGACACAATTTTTAATTATTAAGATAGTGGGCCCCTAAAAGTGGCTCATGTGCGAGAATGGTGAAAAAGCACTGTTATTTCACAATTCTAGGGCCGGTACAAATCTTACTAATTAAAGACTGTGTTCCTTACCAGACTACGTGACTGAAATAAGCACAAATGTTTTCCTAGAATTAAAGGTATCATGGCTATAGGCAGTAGTTCACTGATAATATTGTGCTCATATTTAAAATATATGTTATTATGCAATTCTTGCACTTGAGCCATTTTTTGGTGCAAAATAACATACTAACTAACCACTCTGTCCCTTAACAGACTGCATGAATTAAATAAGCATACAAATGTGTACTAGAATATAAGGTTTCATGGTTCTAAACAGTACACTGTTAATGTTATGCTCATTTGAAATATATCAATATATAGTTGCACAATGTTCATGCACAATTCTTGCACTTGGGTCATTTTTGAGGCAAAGTATCTTACTAATTAAACAATGCATCCCTTTAACAGACTGCATAACTGAAATCAGCACAAAAAGTTGTCCTAGAATGGAAGGGTTTTAATGACTGTCTAGACAGTACATTGATAATATCATGCTCATTTGAAATCAAATAGAGTAAACACAATTTTATTGCACAATTCTTGCACTTGGGCAATTTTTGGGGCAAAATATCTTACTAATTAAACAATGCATCCCTTTAACAGACTGCATACCTGAAATCAGCACAAAAGGTTGTCTTAAGGTAGATTCACACCGAATCCGAATTCGGTTCGCAGAACGTTTTCGATGCGCGTCTTAGTACGCGCCTCTATTCTTTACCACTGATTCGATATTCTTTTTTCGTTTTGTTAGCCATACGAACCGAATTCGGCTTCGGTGTGAATGCAGCGTTAGAATGAAAGGTTTCATGGCTCTAGACAGTTCACAGATAATAATATGCTCATTTGAAATCAATAATAACACCATTTTATTGCATAATTCTTGCACTTGGGCCATTTTTGGGGCATAATATCTTACTAATTAAACAATTTATTCCTTTAACAGACTGCATAACTGAAATCAACACAAAAAGTTGTCCTAGAATAAAAGGTTTCATGGCTCTAGTCAGTACACGGATAATATTATGCTCATTTGAAATCAATAGTAACA